TTTCAATTGGACCAAAATGATACAGAGTTCAAAATTCAAGGTCAAAATCAAGCAAATTGAAATTAGAGGAACTAAAATGACACAACGTGTAAACTACAGAGACTATTTGCATAATTTTCCCTTGTAATTATTTAGACGGAACGAAAACATTAAACTCATGCACTCTCTATTTTCTTACTTTGCTTAACTTCCTCTGTTTTTTTTTTCCCCCTTTCATTTGCCTTACTTTTTTTTCCAATGTAATTTCCCTTATTTTTCTACTAAGAATTGTTGCCTTTTATATAAGCAGGGGGTTTGTGAAATGAAATTATTAACCACATTGGTAAGAATGTAATTTTTAGAATGTCAGAGAGATGGAATATAATTGGATCAAACCTCAGGAGGTGTGAGTGCAATTTACCCATAAATTTATATATTATAAAAAAAAAAATCAAGCTACTTTGCGTTTGAATTGTTAAAAACTCGTTTGAGATTGACTCGCTATATAAATAAGCCAAGTTAAAACATATTTTGAAATTTATTAAATTTTTAATTCAACCTTAGATAATCTACTACTCGATCATTTAACCCCTAACTCTAACTAGAGCCTAGTCAATGAGAAATTGGCTTTGTTTGGCATAGACTATTTTTTTTATTTTTTAGGCTAAAATTTACAAAAAGACAAAATAGATTAAAATAATTAATAAGACAAAATATCACATAAAACTCATAATCATTGCATTTTTTCTCTCACAAACATCACATCTAACTATAAAAAAATTCAATCATCTTTCCAAACACAAAAATTTTAACCTATTAAAATAGTCAAAAACTAAAATAACTTACTAAAATAATAAGTTCTCAAACACCGCATCCGTTTGAGAAGTGGGTTGACTTTTTTATTTTTTTGGCTATTTTAGCATGGGCTAAAAAGCTTGGTTTAGGAAGGATTTTTTGACTTTTTGACAGTTTTGACTTTTTTGTGAGAGAAAAGTATAATGATTGTGGATTGGATGTCATATTTTGTTTGTTATAGTCAAAATAACATATTTTATTTTTTGTAATTAAAATAGCCCCAAACATCTTTATCAAACGGAGCCGGTCTAGGAGTGTTAGTCCACACCATTTATCTAAAGACAAGTGCCAAATTGTTTCTTAAAAAGAGACAAAAAGGTCATAGGCCCCTTGATTCAGCCAATGACAGCCAGAAGCACTACATGATATTGATTCAACCAATGACATCATATTGCCCCAGGAGCAAAGAATAATTTTCCCCATCGAGATGAGGTAATTGTTCTTAACGTTGACGTGGCAAGAAATCAATGGGCAGCATATATTTGACTCTGCAGCCCATTCCTGTAGTTTTTTGTTTTGGTCAAATGTTGTGTTGTAATAAATGGGTCCAGCTTCTGTCCAGTCTGGGATCGGATTGGAACGTGCTGATGGATCCGTGAAAGCCCATCACAGATCGCGCTTTGAAAATTTGAACCTTTCAATATGTAGAACTCGTCGAGTACTACATGCCTGTGAAAAATCACATTGATTGGATATCGATAGCTATGTGATCAAATCAATTTTGTATAAAAAAATAGACGGTGAAAAAATTAACGGTTGATAAAAAACTGTTTTGTTCACATAGCTATCGATATCCGATCAACGTGATTTTTTATAGACATATAGTACTCGACGAGTTCTCCACATTAAACGGTTCAAATTATCAAAACGGGACCCGTGGTGGGCCCCCACGAGCCCAACAGCATGGTCCAGTCCGATCCCAGACTGGACAGAATCCGTGGCCTAATAAATTATCGTTAAAAATAATTTTTTTGGGACAATTTTTGTAATGATTTTTTTAAACTGTCGTTAAAATTTATATTTAGTAACAATTTTGTGACAAAATTTTCAAACTATCATTAAAAATTAACAATTAATAATAACATTTGATAAAAAATACTATTAATTATCACATGACCTATTAAATAATAAATTTATCTATTAAGACATGCACATAAGATTTCCTAAAAAAATGATACTTGTCATTATGTGTTACAATCACAATAATGAGACGTCATATTGATATATGGGTGCTTCGGAAGAGAGTTTGGTTAAAAATATGTTAAAAATAAGTTAACCTCTCAGGATTAGCCTAGTGGTGTAGATTTGAGATTTAGGAGTTTGTTCTTCTTTAGGTCTCAAGTTCAAAACCTCTTAGGTGCTAACAATCCTTTTGTTGGGCCAGTCCATACAGAGCTTTGCTCTGGCTTTAAATAGGAGGCCTCCCCCGCTAGTGGACGGTGGGATTGGTCCTAATGATCCAAGGATTAGCGATTAGTCGAGGTGCGTGCAAGCTGGACCGGACACCCTGAGTTATCAAAAATAGTCAATAAATTAAAATGTCACATATAACTTATAATCATTTCACTTATTTTTTCACAACCATCAAATCAATTATGAAAATTAAAAAAAAAAATACTAAAGACTCCAAAAGCTGGCCCGGACACTCTGAGTTATCAAAAATAGTCAATAAGTTAAAATGTCACGTATAACTTATAATCATTTCACTTATTCTTTCACAACCATCAAATCAATTATGAAAATTAAAAAAAAAAAAAATACTAAAGACTCCAAAAATTCTATCAAAAATTTTACCACATGTCTTACATGAGGGTGGAACCCACATGAGACCCACACTGTGTGGGTCCCAAACCCATGTGAGATATTTGTTAGAAACTTTAGTAGAATTTTTGAGATTTCTAACATTATTAAAAAAAAAAAAATCAACCAAGTTCCAAAAAATAACTTTTTTAATCAAGTTAAAATAGTTAAAAAATTAAAAAATCAATTAAAATAATTAACTTTCCAAACAAGTCCATAAGATCTTTTCAACCATCAAATCAATTATGAAAATTAAAAAAAAAAATACTAAAGACTCCAAAAATGTCACATATAACTTATAATCATTTCACTTATTCTTTCACAACCATCAAATCAATTATGAAAATTAAAAAAAAAAAAATACTAAAGACTCCAAAAATTCTATCAAAAATTTTACCACATGTCTTACATGAGGGTGGGACCCACATGAGACCCACACTGTGTGGGTCCCACACCCATGTGAGATATTTGTTAGAAACTTTAGTAGAATTTTTGAGATTTCTAACATTATTAAAAAAAAAAAAATCAACCAAGTTCCAAAAAATAACTTTTTTAATCAGGTTAAAATAGTTAAAAAATTAAAAAATCAATTAAAATAATTAACTTTCCAAACAAGTCCATAAGATCTTTTCTCTTAAATTGCTCTCACACAGTGGAAAGAAAATTAACTTGTATGGGGTGTTTTGGGAAGAAAATAAAAAGCCAACTTTTAACTTTTTACTCATTTTGGGTCACATCACCTCTCACATTTTTTATTCACAAAAAAGACAAAATAAACTAAAAAAGCCAAAAAATTAACTTTTTACCAACTTTCCAAAATACTCTGTAATTTATAATTTCATGGAGCCTTACAATTGATGGGAAAAAAAATTCCCTTAAATTGCTTTAATAAACTTGGAAACAAAAACAATTGCAATTACCATTATCTTTTTGTTAAACTCCACTTATTGCACTTTGAATAAAATGTTGGCTTAATTAAAATCTTTCAAGAGGACCACATTAACATTTCACCAAAACATTAAAATTCCAAGGCAACTTCTGTTTGATTAGATTGGATTACATGAATCCAATTAATTAGTTCGATTGGTCAAAACTCTTACACCTCACTAGGAGGTCAGTAGTTCAAATATCTCCACCTGCGTGTGAGTCTTACTTTTTGTGTATTAATTGGAGCACTCTCTTCGACTTGGAGAGTTTATTGTGAAGTTTATATTTAATTTTTATTACTATGATTATAATTTATTGAGTTTCATTATAATATCTTGTATGAATCAAATCTTAAAAAAAAAAAAAAAAGAAAGAAAAAAAAGAAGAAGAAGAAGAAGAAGAAGAAGATTGGATCACAGGAGACTATTGCATAACGCAGAAGTTCATCCTCCAAATATTGTCAGGTTGACCATAGGTCGCGGTACAATATTAACATCTCAAGCTAATAAATCACATTTACTTGTTTTATTAGATAAATCACATTTTTTAAGGAATATGAGATTCATATTAAAAGATGCGAGAATAATATTTTTACTTAGTGTGGTAATTTCATTACACAATGAAAACTGAATTAAAAATCACATTCAAACGCACTAAAATAACAGAATAAAAAGAAACTAATATTGAGATTATTATTCAGCCTCTCCAGTCTTACCATCCAAACATGGACTGAATGTGAAAGCTAAAAACGATTCTCCGAACATTCCTCAAGTAGTTGTGATGACATCAAGATACACAACAACATCTAGCTTCATCTCTGCCAATAGTCGTAAAACAGGCATTTTTTTATTTTTTATTTTTTTATTAACAAAAGTCAGTTGTTGGTTGTTAAATTAGCACATATGAGAGTTACTCTCGACATTTTGCCAAGCACCAAATGCTTGCTCCCTTAATTCAACTTCCCTAGAGTTGAACCCATGATGATTTGGTGATTATCACTATGCATCTTATGTATTTCTGTCACTAATATGCAATCAATGAATATTTACTTAGTTGCACATCTATCTACAGAAAACTATAGAGATACAATTACAAAATGTTACATGAAAGTTATAACAATAATAAATAAATAAAACACACCAAAAATTATGTAAATGACTGTAGTATGGCTGCATATGAAGATTTGACAAACTCTATAACCTCCGGTAAGTAAGAGACGAATCAGCTCCAACAAGTTCAAAGGCAAGCTTCAAAAAAGCTCGCTTCCACATCTGGTCACCATAATTTATGTAGCCGATAACTTTAGTTGTAATAAAATGATATAATGTAAGTATACTCATTTTCCATTGATACTGCAATAAAACAAAAATAGTAGATTGAGAACAGTAAATAAAACCCACAAATTTTCTACCATTTGCAACCAAAGGGCCAAATGGGCAGAGTACAAATGCAGATTGCAGCACCTAATCCATACTAAATAACTGAGAATCAAAGACCATCTCTATATTGACAACTTCACTGAGAGATCGTAGGACTCGAAAATGTACTTTATTAGTCTTTCTCATAGTTTTCCAATATTACACATCATCATCCAGTTATCAAAAACAGTGTTCTGCTACTGCAAAACCAGTTCTGGTAAAGTAAAACAATAGCCCAAATTCTCTACTTTTCAAAGAGAAGTCAGACATACAAGAAGTCTTCTTTGTCAATGCTGTGTACAGATCATCACTACAGACCCGTCCCAAAAGACAGCTTCACCAAAGATTTGTACTTGCGTAATAACTTCATTTGATCTGCACTTCAACGTCCTTTTCAAGTTTTCTTTCTTCGAGCAGCCTCTTCTTTTTGTCTCTGAATCATCTCCAGCTCCCGGTATCTTTCCTCCTCTTTCCGCTGTTGCTCCAGAGCTTCTCTTCTCTGAGACTCTTCTACCCTCCTTTGATTCTCCACAAGCATTTTATCCAGCTCTTCTCTCTCTTTTCGAGCTTGTTCCTGTGGGATATGATTTAATGATATCACAAAAATGACCACAATGCAAGCAACAATGACAAACAAAAGGGGAAAGGGGTTTCAAGAAAACATTCTAATTTTTACTCAAAAATTATATTCATCTAAAGGAGAACAAAAGCTAGAACCTGGTCTCAAAGACACATACCTCTTTCTGCCTTGCTTCAATAAGAGCAGCTTCCTTCTCCTTTTCAAGTTGAGCTTCAACATCATCAAACAGTTTCTTCCGACCAGCTTCAATTCGCTTCTCTATTTCCAGTTTAGCTTCCTCAGAATTCAACTTTTCCTCAACTTTTTTTCGAATTGCCTCTTCCAGTCTCCTTGTAGTCTCCTCTTCTAATAGTTTCATCTCCGCTTCTAGTTGCAGCCTAATAGAAGATGTAAACAGTTAACTACAGGAATGGCCATTACAGTAGTACAGCAGTACCAACAAGCCAAAAGTGACAGAAAATTTCATTATTCATTACCATCCCATCCATCACCATGCTAAATAAAAGCTGATGCCGTTAATGCATACCTCTATAACTTGTTTCTGATCCATAACATATGAAGTTCAAAACTGGGAACAGTAGATAAACGATGCACCAATTGATCATCAAATATAACAAGATGAACTATAGCAGTAGCATCCTTCACACATAAAGGCCAGAAAAAGAAGAATGTCAAGCACCCTGTCGCATGTTCAGAACTAATCACGAATCTGATGCAAAAGTAAATCTAGAATCTAATCACATTGCCTGGTGAGAGGCATAATAATTTCAATTCTTGGGTACAAAACAGGAAAGAAAGGAATGAGAAAGCATGGTCATCTTTCAACAGCAGCACATATTTATAAAAAGAAGCAGTCCAAGAAAGAAATCAACTCAAGCTCAAGTTATCTAATTATCATTCCTATCATCAACTGATATCCACATTATTTTAAACCATCAATTCAACATCTTTGCCTGCAAGGCTGCAATAGCTCTTTAATAACATTCAAATATTATAGCCTATTTTCTGTGTATGAGATAGGCAACAAAGAAACTCACCAGTCTCTGAATTTTGGAAGAATGCAAATACAAAACATAACTGAAAGGCATCATGTATATATAGAACAAACACATGCATGCGCACATGAACACAAAATATTGAATGGGGCATTTGCTAAAAGATGCAATGCAAATTGCAACAGATATTATTCTTATCTCAAGCCAAAACAAGGCCACTATGAATAAGCCTCCCACAACCTGACGTCATTCTATGACACTCTAGACAACCCCAAGCACCTCTAAGATGCACTTGGCAGCAAGCTAGACCTAGACCCTTGTCCTAGCTAGAAATCAATGAAAATATATGTAAGACACCCTAACAACTATGACACTCTATGAATGAAGCTTAGTTGCAGGAAGTATGAAAAATACATGCAATCAATAACATTAATCTATGTCAGGCCAATTTTATCTAGTATAACAGTTACTACAAAAATTGGATATCTTTCATATTAAATACGTCTCATGCTTTGGAATATATATCAACCATATGAAGATAGAATTGTATACTCAATGCCAAAAATCTATCCATGTTAAGAAAATCATAATTGTGAATACAACATAACATATGTCACTTCTTGCCAAAACATGATAGAGAATGCAAATAAAAATCCTACAGCACATGTCATGATAAGTACGAGAAAAAGTGGATGTACCTTTTCTTTTCTTCTTCTTCCTTTCTCAATTTTTCAATTGCATTTTTTCGCTCAGCTGACACAATACTTGGACTGCGGGACTTGGGTGGAGGAGACACCAAGTTACTCCTACTTCTTTGTCTTTTCTGTCGTCTAGGCGTTGGAGATCGACTTCTACGGCGCCTCAAAGCAGGTGAACGACTTCTACGGCGACGTGGGGTACCAGAACGGCTTCTTCGCCTATGTAGTGAAGTAACAACAATTATAGAATATTAACTAAATCTTGAATGCCATGTCCACTCGGAAAAAAAAAATCCCACTACCGAATATATTTGTTTGCCAAGATAACATAAATTGTTACCTCAACATTAAAATAAAATTGAATTAACATTTTAGTTTTGTACATCTTGCCCTCCCCATATCCCAACTTAAACAAAGCCTCATGCACTGGGTTACCCTCTTTTTAACCATTTTAGTTGATTTGTTCAATTCTTCAGTTATTTCCCCAACAGATAATTAAGGTGTGTATGGGAACCAACTATTTGTTTCCATTTATTAAGATTCTAAACTCAATTTCCTTATGCAAATAAACATCATGATTCACTAGTTCAATCCCAATATTATTGTAGACAGTTTGAGGCAACTGATGCTTTATGCCTCCTCTATCTTGAGTGCAAATGCAATCCCACCTCATACAGATGAAATTAGAGAATTACATCATAGAAACCTTTGATGAATTGATTGGAAAAACTAGAATGTGAAGCAACACAACCATTAAATAGGAAAACCAAAAAAAAAAAAAAAGGGGAAGAAGAAGAAGAAGAAGACGATGTATGGCCAAGGAATAATTATCATCAAGCTAATTCACATTAACTCTAAGCATCTCACTCCAACTAACAGAAACGCACATACAAATCATAATGTCATGAAGCATATAATGAAATTATCAATACTATATACAGCTCCACAAGTTAAAATGCAAGTAAATTGGACAAAAAATGAATCCATGTTCTAGAAAAAGTCGATTTAAGCAGTGAACATTATTATGAAGACAAATCATTTATTTTCACGGAGAAAAAAGTTTACTTTGCTTCAATGTCTTCACAGAATGCACATTAAAAAAGATGAGCAACCTATAGTATCCAATAAATAAACTATTGAAAATCTAGGTTCCATACTCAAGGGCAAAGCAACATATAAGGAAATCAAGTTAATAGAACCCAATGAAATTTGAAACAGAAAACAAGAGCATATTTAATGGAATCCTTTTTCTTTTCTTTTTCTTTTTCGGAGGGGGAAGAGGTTCCTATAACTTACCCATCAAAAATATTGTGCAAATTAAAAGGTTGCGGTACAAATTAAATGGGCATAACCCACGTTCCACAGTGCAAGGTTTTTCTTAGTTCAATAATGGCAGATAGGAAGAACAAAAAGAACCCCTATTTTTTAAGATGTAAATGGAGAGAGAGTTGAAGACAACATAGTATTCAGCTATATGTCCACCGTATATCACCTCCCACTATCCTAATATAATGTGATAGTGGTAACTACCCTTATCTCTTACATAGATAAGGTGAGATCTAAAAATCCATCTAATCTCATCTATTGAGTAACAGGGACAAGCCATCATCGGCACGCATATCTGCATCTGAATCCGAACCCAATGTCTAATAGTGCTAAACCTTGTTATAGTCACCTTCTTCGACTAACATAATCATAAAGGTAAGTAAAATAGAGAAACTTTCATTCATTCAAATTTTTACTTGTTGGATGGAAATTGTTTTTTAAAATTAATTATTTAGTTTTTAATTTCTATTGGATTAATGTATTTCAGTTTAGGGTTTCAATTTTCATCATGGCTTTTATATTTCTTATTATGAGTGCTTCTGGTGACAAAATAAAATGGATTTATTGTGGGTTTTTTTTTTTTTTTTTTAATTGGCACTGGGGTGTCTGAATCAAAACCCAACTAATCCCCACAGGTGCACAGGCCCTCGGTAAGAAGTTTTCCGCAAGTGCACCACGGTTAATTCAAGAATTCTTTCCTAGTCCGATGACCCCAAGAAATTGTTAGCACCTAAGAGATTTCGATCCGTGAAACTTGGAGAGAGCACATCCCTAAGACTTAAGGCCTTACCACCAGGCCAATCCCTTAGGATTGGATTTATTATGGTGTTTACAGAATCATAAGTTGATCTCACTAATTTTTTACTAACTGACTCTAGCTAAATAAAAATTCAGTCTCCACATTGTCCCCACTAACCTTGGACATGTGGTGCCGATTGCGGACTTGGATTTGGGCATAAAATGCAAAATCCCACGAGCATTATTTCTAAATATCACCCCATCATTTGATATATCAAAGCAACAAGTTTTTAAAAAATAAAATAAAATCATTTCCATTCTATAAAACCAAAATCCACAAGCAAAACACCCATTAAAAATTAAATTGAATTTGATGATCTAACTCCTAAATCCACCACCTCCAACACTGCAAATAAGAATGCTATGTTTCAGAGCAACCAATCACAAGGGTGCACACCATCATCCCATAGAGGCCCATCTATTTCCCATATCAATTTCCTCAAACGCAACCAACTAGGGCAAAAAAAATCACATTTCCTATAATTCACCAATCAATGCTGACGCATTTCCAGATATACACATCCAAAGGAAAAATGATGCATCTGTAAAAGATGAGCTAAAATTTCCATTACACATAAAATTCTGACTTGAATTAGTAAAATCATTGTAATTGATTTCTGGATTAAATTAAATAAGATATTAACACACAAGAAAAAGTAAAGGGAAATTCTATAATACACACAATTATGAGCTATTGTGATATTGGTTTATGGCCCATTGTAGTGTTGGTAATGACTTAGTTACGACCTATTGTGTTTGTTGATTTGTTTATTACCCATTATTGTCTCTCTTTTTTATATACTGTAACTGAAAATGATTTGATTATGACGCAACGTGCCATCAAAAGCCACAAGATATCATAAATACAGCTCTTTTGAGTGTGTGTGTGTATTATAGAAAGACCCAAAATTAAAACATAAAAAAGGGATGATGAAATAAGGTCCAATTTACAAAGAAAATGTATATAAATGTTGAGTATGAAATGTTTGAGAAAGTAGAGAATTATGAATGAGAAGACCTGTTGTTGTGAGAATTAGAATAAGGTGAGCGGCTTCGGTCCCTTCCAGTGCGGCGGCTGTGCCTGTAACTCACCGGTGACGGAGAGTATCTCCGTCTGTACGACGGTGACCTCGACATACTCCGAGGCATACTTGCCTTGATTGCTTTCTCAGGTCCTATTCATATCAATATCCAAAATTTATAATCCAAATTTCAATATTATGTATGATCGCTTACAATGTTATGTAAATTTGTGTGTGAATGTGCGTGTTCAGGAAGAGTGTATCGCACTAGCTCAAAATCAAAATCAAAATCAAAATCAACCTGAGATATCAAAACTTGGAAGCAAGTAACAGTTGCCAACTTGCCACTCTGCTGCGAATGCCCTAGCTCGGTTAGAATTGGGAGAGAGAGAGAGAGAGAGTGAGAGAGGGAGGAGGATGGCACCGGACCGGGATGGGTGGGTACGGGCACGGGTGTGGGTGTGGGTGTGGGTTTGGGTTTGGGTAAAAATTTGATAAAAAATTGGGCAAATTACAAACACCACTCAAAGTTTGGTGAAAATATAGATTCTCTCTGAGATTTGAGAAATTACAAATTATCTCCTGAGGATCAAATTTGCATAACAAATTACGAGGGAATCTGTATGAAAATAAAAACCTCAGGGAGCAATTTGTTATGAAAATATAAACCTCAGAGAGCGGGATGTAATTTCTCAAACCTCAAAGGGGATTTGTATTTTCACCAAACCTCGAGGAGTTGTTTATAATTTACCCTAAAAAATTTGATCGCATACAATGTTTTTCATCAAACCTGCCGATATTCTGCTGAAGAGGAAATTTTCATCAAATTTATTTTAAAATCCATTTGTTTAGAGGTCATTCACCCAGTCGTCTATCAATAATCAAATCCAATATTAGATGAAAAGATAAATGTAAGTTTGATTTAATGAAAGTTTTGTCTTTATTTGATATGAGTTTAATGAGAATAGAAAAGTAGACATTTTTTACTAAATTTAAATTTGATGAAATATTTGAGTAAGGGCTGGAGATGGTCTTAAAATGGTGATTATAACCCTTTTTTTTTTAAAAGGTTTTTTTCAATTTTTTTTTACTTTCTAGGTATATTTATGTTAGGTATGTCTAAAAATTAAAAAAAATTGCTTAAAATATTAAAAAAATTCAGTAAAAATAAAAAAATACGAAAAATAAGAAAGTTAAATTTTCTGAAAAGTATTTTTGAAAAATAATAACCAAGCATGCTAATTAATATTTATAAAATTTATCATTTATTGATAATTATTTTTCAATGCTTCAAACTGTAGTGAAATTTTTCAAAAGTAATTCTTCACAAAAGTCTTAGGCTTCGTTTGGAAACTTTTACTTTTGATTAAAAGGTCAAAAAATAAGTATAAATTATCACATCACTCTCTTTATTTTTTTATAAAAAATTAAAAAAATATTAATATGTCTCTAGATACAGGCTAAAGAGTTCCAATAAAAGCTTTCTTGTGAAGTAAAGTGATGAGACAATGTCTTATCAATGTGGAATTGGCAGATGAAAATGTTCTGCTTTACACTTACAATGTGGACTAGGCTAGGGTGTTGAGACAAGAATATGATTTTTATAAGAAAAATGGTTTAGAGCACTAAAAGTGGTGCTTTAATAGCACCATTAATGATGTGATAGTGGGGCCCATTGCCTATGTCTTTTCTTCTCTTTTTTTTGGCATGCCCAGTGCTATTAGTGGTCTTTAGAGCAGCACTAATGACGTGGCTCTGACGTGGCAACCATGTTCTCTAACTCACTTCTCTCTTTTTCTCATTCTTGATTTCAAATTTCAAACTTATTTTTGGAATCTTCTCTCTCTTTATATTCAAAACCTTACCTTCTCTTCTCTGTCTCTCTCTCTCTCTCTCTCTATTTGTTGTCTTCGACCTCTCACTCCCCGACGGAGCACAGCTCTACTCCAATTTCGCCGACGATCAACTCTCTCTTTGAACTCTCTCTCCGACCGAGCCTCTCTATCTCCCTCGATCCTCCTGACGATCGACTCTCTCACTTCTTACTTCTCACTTCTCGTCAGTGTCGCCGAATCACTGAGGACTTTCCGTCTTCTCTCGACTCTTTATCTGACCGCCAATCGAGTCTGTATCTTTTGTTTCTGACCGAGTCTCCGTTCCGAAGAGCGACCCGAACCAGCGACTCCAATCTACAAGTATATAACTTACAAATTGATTTAGGATTAGGGCTTGTATATATAACAGTATAACTTAAAGGTCTGAATTTTCGCATTGTAATATAGTGTCTGTGTATATGTAATTTTGAAATTGATTTAGGGTTTGTATGTATGTTTATGTGTATATATGACTTAGAAATTGATGTAGGGCTTCTATGTAGTGTTCCAAATTGCTGACCATATTTCAGTTGAATTTATGGAAAACCTTGATCTAAATCATCATACGAACTGGTTTCTTGAAAAGGGGTTTAATTTTCTTTTGAAGGAAAAAAAAGAAAATAATAATTTGTTGTTATTGTTGTTGATATATACTGAAAAGGGACTGAGCATTCTGAAAACCTTGTTGTTGTTATTGTTGAGGTTGAGTCTGAGCATTCTATAAGAATGGTCGGCCCCTCTAAGTCCATTTTTGCCTTTCCGTAGCAGAATATAGGTGTATGGTTAGAATTATTATATGTGAATTATTCTATTTCCTTACAATTATTGATGTCCATAATAAAAGAAAAATGTCATATTTATAGTTAGAGTTATTATTTGCGAATTTTTCTTACAATTATTGATCTCAATAACCATCCTATTTGAGTACACAATATTTCTTGAAAGAAAATGAATCAAATATGACAAATATGTAACTATTTGAACAGGGACATGACATTATATCAGCAACAACGCAAAGTACATGAAGATGAAGTTTGATATGTGGTTTAGCTCAATATATGTCTGTTTTGTGCTTTGTACGCTTCACTTGCTAAGACTACCATCTCATGGCAATGCATTGTACTTTTTTTAAGTGTCAAAAATAAATATGAACTCACATTAACTTTTATTTAATAATTAACTTTTGTGGATGACTTTTATGTTGTTTGAGGGCACAAAATATGTTTGTTTTGTTTTGTTTAGCATACAAGTAAGGAAATTAGTTAACTAATTAATAGGGGAGACTTGTACACTGTTTTTTTTTTTTAAGAATTATATGGCGCTGCTTTTGAGACTGGGTATGCTTGTTCTGAAGGAGAGTAGGATGTGTAAATTATTCAAATTTGGCTTTATATTTTCGTAGATATCAACTTCAAGTGTTAACGGCACTACCTCAGATCAATTGACATATTGTAACAGAAATTGTCCTAAATGTCAGAAAAAAAACAACTATTCGAATTTCGGAGACGGAGCGAAACAAAAACAAGGTATTTTATTGTTGTCATAATTGCGGTGGTTTTATTGGATGGTGCTTGCCTACAAATTCATAATGTAGAGGAGAAAGAGAAGTGCAAATGGAAAATATTCCAACTGTCACCGAACAACTACGATTCATGGGCGAACAAATTCAATTTCAAAGCGAATAACAACTTCAATTTTAGAGTGCGAAGATGCTTAAATTGGAAACAGACATAAATCGAAGTTGGTGTCGTATTTATGGGTTTTTCATCTTGCTTGTAATTGTTGTCATATCAATTATGAAGATGTAATAGTATATGTGAACGATACAATGTTGGTATTTAGTTATGAATCTTGCGTGTAATCGAGTGTTTATGTGACTCACTAGTGGTTAACTATTTAGAGTTCTGAACTGTTAACATTATCTTTAGGGAGTTACTAACTTAACTATTTACCAACCACGATCAACCAAATTTCTGATCATATCCTATTGGCTGAGCAATTCATTTGAGCAGTAATTCATTTGTGTCAAATGAAACAATATCTCCAAATTCTTCATAAGCCGCCTGACTCGTTGCATCCGCCCAAAACAAGTTGTTAATGCGAAAGTCAATATCAACATCGATCATATAACAAAAACTCGAATTTTGAGTTTGCATCCTCAAAAAATATTTTTGAAGTGCATTGGAATCTCCTTCTCCAAGCCTCAATTTTCTAGCTCTATTAATGTAATTCCTTACATCTCGTTCATCAAATGTTAATGACTTACAAACCCCAGCTTTAACAACCATTGAGTGATAATTCCTAGACACCCAAATCCCTGCTTGATCATTAATTTATAATCTTCTCTTCACAGGAGTAAGAATTTTCTTATTTATGAATCAAGTCGTGATTATGCTCAAGGTTAACTATGGTTAACATAAATCTCTTATCTTTTTGTAAGCTCGCTCGTACCCTAGCTTTGTAACCAATTTTTGTGGACAGAGATAACTTTAGAGGGTTTACTTATGATTTTTTTGTTCTTTTCCCAGATCAAAAACATTCAATCCCAATGTATCTTAATTCCCCATCATTGCCAAAAACTTGTGTTTTATAAGCCATAGAAAATCCAACATGTTTAGCATATTTGGCATAAAATGTGTACACTTCTTGTTTTGAGCAAAAACACATTCCCCTCTTAGGTTCCTCAACTTCTTCACTATCATTTAATAAATGATTCTCACCACTATTTGAATCAATCTCCATTTCTGCTCATTCAAAATTTACACTGAAATCAAAAGACTTAAATTCAATTACAGTCAACATATCAAAATATTCATCAATATTACAACTGCAGGCTCTAGAAAGGATTCATCAATATTACAGTCTACATATCTAAATATTCATCAATTCACTCTTATTCAATTCATCAATTCATCATTGATTAAAATGATTAACCAGAAATTTAGAAATTCATCATTCTCAAAAATTTATCAATTCATCACTTCATCATTCCCAGGAATTTATCAATTCATCAATTCATCATTTCCAGAAATTTATCAATTCATCATTCTCAAAATATATCAATTCATCATTCTAAGAAATTTATCTAAATATATATATATATATATATATATGTATGTATATGTATAAGTATGGAGAGAGAGAAAGACAAAAAATAGAGGACAACATCACCAACCTAGAAATACTTTCAAAGTGACAAAGGGACGAAGATCAGTGTGATAACCCTGTCCTGTGCTATGTTAACTAATCATGCTTACGTTTGTAATTATGTGCTTAATTTGAATTTGGGTGTTAATTGCATGATTATATGTGATTTTGGCTTTGTATCTGTTCACCGTAGGAAAATCTGTTGGAATCTGTGCTTTGAACTGAAAATTGAAGGCCTTATCGGCCACCGAAGGCAAAATTGACTACGCCATTGTGATTGGCGTAATTTTTAGAGCCTATGGTGAAATTTAATTGAAAATTAATTCGGATCAAAATAATTAGATTCAGAATGGTTAATTAGAGTACCATTACTTAAACTTAATCAATGTGATTAAGCAAGCCTATAAATAGGCCCTTATACACTTAAGTCCCTCATTTTTGTGA